TTTTGTTAGTAAATTAGTTTTAAAGGCTGCTAGCAAGTCAGGTGGTAGCCATTAAATGAACCTCTACTGCTGACATTAATTTACAGGTGTCAACAGGACAAAACTCTAGGACCTGATAGCTAATCTGAGAGAGAAATTGCCCCTCATCCCTTCAAGACTTTTTTTTTTTTTGTAAGAGAGGTGGGGGGGGAGAATCTTAAACAGGTTCCGAGTTGTGTGGGCCTCGATCTTAAAACCCTGAGATCATGACCTGAGCAAAATCAAGAGTTGGATGCTTAGCCAACTGAGCCACCCAGGTGCCCTTGCCTTCTAATCAGGCAGGGTCAGCTTCTACTAGAATGACTTTTTTTTTTTTTTGAGAGAGAGAGATCACGAGCCGGGGGGTGGGGGGGTGCAGAGGGAGAAACCCCACTCCTTGCTGAGCAAGGAGCAGTGCGGGACTTGATCCCAGGACTCTGGGATCATGACCTGAGGGAAGGCAGATGCTTAACTGAGTGAGCCACCCAGGCGTCCCGAATTTTTGGCTTTTATGTCTGCATATCTTACTTTTGTTTTTAATGTTCAGTGGAGTTGTTTTTGTCAATTCAGAGTACCTTTCTGAAATCTGACTTTAGCTTACAGGTCTAATAGCAGGAAAATAGTAGTTTGAAAAAGGATTTTAAGGAGTATATATGGGAAAAAACTATTTAGTCATTTTGTCATATTGCTTGAATTTAGGTAATAACTACCACTTTCTTAGAAGACTTCTAAATTCCAGACATTGTACTTGAAACTTTATATATAATTTCTAAAAATATATGGAACAAATGCTTAATTTAATTATTGTAGAATAAAGGAATAGAATTATTGTTTAACTTGGTACCAGATATATACTATCTAGTAATGAATTTTCTAAAATGTGTCTAAACTAGAAATGTGTAGGAAATGAAAGTACTATTTAGGCATTTTTACCAAAGTTGATTGTAGCTGAAGATGTGTAGATACACTTGAGTAACTTAGAATTCTAGGTCTAGATAGTTATAATTCTAAGTAATGAAACTGAATTCTCACCAAAGGTTTGTTGTGATATATGAGTGTGTGTGTGCGTGTGTGTGTGTGTATGTAAGATAATTTAGTATTTAATAATTTGGTGTATAGACTATATTTCATTGTTGTTTCTGCTTTTGCTGTATAAGGGAATTTGATGCCCCAGTTAAATATTTTTGAATACCTTGGTTTTTTGTTTGTTTTTTTAAAGGTTTTATTTATTTGAGAGAGAGACAGAAAGAGCACACAAGTGGGGTGAGGGGAGAGGGAGAAGCAGACCCCCTGCTGAGCAGGGAGCCCGACGCAGGGCTTGATCCCAGGACCCCGGGATCATGACCTGAGTTGAAGGCTGACGCTTAACTGACTGAGCCACCCAGGTGCCCTACCTTGTTGTTTTTTTCTTTTTAAGAGTTTTTGAGTAACACATTGTCCATACAGTTAAATAATTTTGCATTTTTACCTCACAGTCATCTCTGCATGTATTTACCATTCAGCATAATCTGTAACAAAATTTGAAGTAAAGAAAATCACTAAAATAATAAAGCCAAAACAAAATATATTAAAGCATGAAAAATAACAGGAATAGTAAAATAGTCTGTTGATTTTTCCAGATCTCTTTTCCAATATTAAGCTGTTTTCCTGTTTTACTTTAGGAGTTATTTTCTGTGCATATACCAACTCCATTATTTTAGTCATTTAGTAGTGGCTTAGCTTCCTTAGCTTTTGGTCTGTTTTACCAAATAATACTTGGGAAACTTGCTAAAATTTTTGTAGTTAATAATACATACAAACTGTAGGTTTTGCAATTTAAGGCAAAGCATACTAGCAGAAATAGAGACCCTTTTAAATGTCTCAAACCGTTGACCTATGGAAAAAGCCAGTCAGGGCCCACACACTACACAAAAATCAGGTTAGAACTCTGAGAGTGTTTATGTATATGTGTACTTTTTTTTTCTTTTAAGATTTTATTTGTTCATTTGAGACACAGCGATAGCGTGAGCAGGGAGAGAGACAGAGGGAGAGGAAGAAGCAGGCTCCCCACCGAGCCAGGAGCCAGATGCGGGGCTCAATCCCAGGACCCTGGGATCAGGACCTGAGCCGAAGGCAGATGCCCAACCATCTGAGCCACCCAGGCACCCCTTTACTTTTTATTTTTTAAAGATTTATTTTGTAGGGGAGAGAGTGCATGAATTGGGGGATGGGCAGAGGGAGAACCTCAAGCGGACTCCCTGCTAAGCACGGAGCCCAGCTCGGGGCTCAGTCGCACCACCCATGAGATCATGACTTGAGCTGAAACAAAGAGTTGGACGCTCAACCGCCAGCTACCAGGTGTCCTTTGTATGTGTACTTTTTAAAAGAAAAAATTTAAGTCAGTGATCTAACTCTTGCTTAATGATGGAAGGAGGAGGAGGCCAATAAGCACAAACCTCATTAAACTTTTTAAAGGGTAAATCTTTAATTAGAGTTTGTTATTTAAAAAGATGCAAATTCAGCTTTGACCTAGAACTGAGAAGGGAACATTAGAGTTTATAATCTCTTATTTCAGTGGCATTTTCCAATTTTTTGTTTTCTTGTTGAAGTTCATATCATACTACATTTTATAAAGAAAAAATATCTGGTTTTAACCAGACTATTTTTTTTTTAACCAGGCCATTTTTAATAAAGATTGAAGATATACCGTGTCACCACTGGCATAAGTGGAATTAATTATTTGGCTGTGTTCTTTAGGTTTGATAAAATTGAAGGAGAAAGGAAGAGTTTTTTGATATATGAGCTATAGGTTTCCTTGGTCAGTTGTGTCCATAAAAAGGAGAATTAGTTATAGATGTATGAAAAGAACCTTGTTGTAAGATCCCATTTTGTAGACCCTAAGATTTCCAAAAAAGGAAATGCTAATACAATAATAGTATTCTTAAATTGCTTGATGAAATCTAGGTTATCTGACAAAAAGTATAATTTTCTTTATTAAAAACTACTTTTAATAATTTTTTCTCTTTGAATTGCAGATGACATTTTTTATGTTTATGCAATCATTTGCTGCAGGTAGTTGATATAAATAAAATGAATTTATAGAATAGAAACTAATTCCCTCTGCAAAAAAAGGGCAAATAAATTATTTATTATGATTACTGTTTGCCCCAGTGATGGGTGATTATGGAAAGTAGAAATACAGCACAAAATACTTTTTTCACATAGCTATATTTGTAATAAATGCTGAGTGAGCAGTAAGCTTGCTATATATAAATAAATGTATATAGAGTGAGCTGGAGAAATACAGTCATATGCTTTGCCCAGCCAACTTCCCTTCACATGCCCCTAAATTCCTCAACAGCTGATCAGAAATATCTCTGCAAAAGCTCTATATAATAACACAAAATAATTTGTTACTATGTTAAAGTAATTTATTGGGCTTTTATTAAGATTTGTGTTAATGAGTGTGTAATTGTGAGTGGGAGGAATTGTGGCAGTTTGTTTTAACTTGTCTTACAAATTACGAGATTAAAAGAAAAATTTGTCCTTGTACTGGCTAAAAATGCTTTGAGAAAATACTACCTAATGAATTTTACGTAGTTATTCTTAACATAATTTTAAACTATTTTATAGTTTTTTGCAGCTTCTGATATTACCACTAACTGCATACTAGACATTGGTAGGAAGGATCAATTTCTGTAGATTTAGATTTAATAAGCATAATCATTGAAAGATTAAATACGACTAACATACCTGTGTATATTTCCGGTCAAATTTATTCCAGATTTATTGCTGACCCACAACTTCATTTTAGCAGTGTCATTTAGAATCCTATTTGAGTCAAACTATATAGCTTACTTTGATAATTAATAAAATAAGATATTCTAAATAAAGATAAATTTTACATTTGCAGTAGTATATATTTAGAAGTTGACTTGTGTCTTAGAATAATTTTCAGTAGTATTAGTGATGACTAATTTCATTACATCTGTTATGTTTCTTGTATATTAAGTTTATATTATTTTTCATAGGAACTTTTCAAATTTAATAATTAGCTTGAGTTTTTAAATGTTTCCCTTTTAAATTTGCTCATGAATTTTAAATGTTTTTTGATATGTTGAGTTGTTTTGTATTACAGTGACTTGTGTACTTCTCGTATCATCAGATTAAAATTTTGCTTTCGAAGCATGTGTGAGATAATACTGAGAATTATTCCTTGTACTATAACTTTTGTAGCAAAATACTTATATAATAGTATAGCTGTTCTGATTATGGCAGAGTTTGGTTTTAACTGGCCAAAGTAACAGAAATTTAATTTAAAGTTGTATAGTCAATATAGAGTAGTTATTTTATTTTAGAAGTATAGTAGATAAAAGGAAAGTTAAAATAAGAAATCATAGTCAAAGCTTGAAAAATGGAAAGCATTTTGAACATCACATGGATTTTAACCTTTTACAGAAAGGAAGCTGACATTGTTGGTTGTAGAACTGCCCTTTTCCTAGAACATTGTTGTTACTGGAGTAATCTGAGCAATTTAAGGCTTCATTTCAGTAAACTGATAAACTGGAAACCATTTACATTTGAATGCTTGCATTAATTTTTGTCAGGGACTAGAATACCTACCACATCTAAGCAGATGCGATACAAAGCAAAAGGACTCTAATATTTAAAAAATACTGTAGTTCTAATTGTACCAAAGTGATAAGTGATTTAAATAGACAAAGCACAAAGCCTTTGTGATCCCCCCTCCCATCCTGGAATAATATATCTAGTGCATATTTGATTTGTAGAAGATTATGTTGCAGTTTGTAAATAAGCAAATAAGCATTTGTTTATTACTACTCAGTAATAGGATTTTTTGAGTGGAAGAAATAGGAGGGAAGTGGGAAAACAAAAAATAATTATATTAATATTGTAACTGTTAAGTGCTTACATTTCCCCCACAATATTGTCTTGTACTGTATGATTTTTCAGCATTTAAGAAGCGGTTTTGTTCTTTATAGCTGAACCAATAACGTTTCCATCTGGAGGAGGCAAGTCATTTATTATGGGTTCTGATGATGTTTTGTTAAGTGTACTGGGCCTTGGAGACCTTGCAGACTTGACGGTAACAAATGATGCAGACTATAGTTATGATGTAAGTGCAGTTTTATTTTTAATTTTTTAATGATTTAATAGAAGGCTCCTTATTTTTTTGGAAACACTTATAAAACAGAATTAATGTCAAGGTGCATGGAAAAGATAAGTTTAAGTGTGTCAATATGTTGATTTGAAGTGACATATAGTTTTTCTTTTGTAATTTGTGGTGTTTAAATTTTCTTAGGTATTGTGGTGGATTAGCTAGAAGTTTTGGGATGATTGATTACCTTATAATATTGGTTGATTAATATCTATCTTGAGTAGTCAACTCTCAATTATTTACTCAAATTAAGCCATATTTTGGTGTCAACAAGAGAAAAAATAGGTAACCTGAATCACTTGCCTTCAGGATACTTCTTAAAAATTGTGTTTTATTTTTGAACTTTTATTTTTGTAAGCATAATGTTAAAGTTAGCTTGCCATTTCCTGAATACTTACTTAGTCCTTCATTTGAGGGATGGGGAGAGAACGGAGATTGGATGGGAAGGGTAGTGTACAGAGGTGAAACTTGTCTTGGATTAAATTTTTTATAGACAATAAACACTCAATTGAGAGTTAACTATACTTGTTTAGATTTTGTATGAATGAATTTGCAGTTTTTCAGCAAATTAATTTTTTCCCTTTTGTAACATTTCTTTTTTCTACATTTTATACTTAAGTTATACCTAGATTGGCATGCTTTTTAGAGACATCAGCCTTGGTGGGCTGGATAATTCTCATTAATATTTTCAAAGTATATAAACAACTAAATTCTAGTAAACTTTTGACTACTTTAGAAGTGGTTTCACAGCCTGTCTTTACAGATGGAGAAATGAAGGTAAAAAGATTAACCTCTTACCAGTATCAACAATAATGAAAATAGGATGACAATATTCTTAAAGTGTCTTTAGTTCAGACTTTTGGAAAGTACCTTAATTTGCTTCCTTTAAAAATTTCACATGCTAATTTTCTAAATGACAGGTGTATTGTTAATACTGTTCTCTTGGATTTTTGGTAGTAATTTATATAATTGTTTTCATGTAAAGCATTGCAGCATGGTAGTTTTTTTTGTTGTTCTCATCTGACGTTTAATAGGACTTTTGGGTTTAGCCCGATGATTAGGTAAAACAGATTAAGGAACTCTTCATTTGATCTAGGTATTTGAAAGCTAATTGAAGTTATTCTTAGTATCATTTATTAAATGATAAAGATTTGTTATAAAGTTTTTAAGGTACATTAAATTTCCACCGGACATTTTAGCAAAGCAGTTTAATACATATATTTTACACACCAAAACACACAAAACTCCACATTCCTATCAGTTTACTACTTTTACTACTAAATATTGCACTCTTTCTTTTTAGTTGCCTGCCAATAAAGATGCCTTTCGAAAGACATGGAACCCCAAGTATACACTACGTAGCCATTTCGATGGAGTACGGGCATTAGCTTTTCATCCTGTAGAACCTGTGCTGGTTACTGCCTCTGAGGACCATACTCTGAAACTTTGGAACTTGCAAAAAACAGTTCCTGCCAAAAAGCAAGTATTTTCATGTTAGCCTAGCTTTTTTCCTTCCACATGTGCTAATAATTTTAAGTTAATTACCCTTCTTTATGGTTCTTTTTTTTTTAAGCTTTCATTTGATCTTACCTAGTGATTCTTGAATGTCAGCCAGTAATTTGCAGTTACTTAATTACCTTCTCCTCCCCCACCCTTCTTTTCTTCTCTTTTAGGAGTGCCTCTTTAGATGTAGAGCCTATCTACACATTTAGGGCCCACATGTAAGTTTTTTTGAATTTGTACTTAAATTAACAACCATAGTTATTGTTAACTATTATTTATCAACCCTCAAACCTTAAAATTTTCTCATAATGTTTGTTTTATAATAGAAAAGACATTCGTTGAGTAGTATTTCATTTGATTAATAATTGTATTAGAATATAATCAGTACTGTTCAAATTTATGTTTTAAATTTTAAACAGTTTTTAGATACCGCATGAATTTAGAGGTTGGGGGATACAGATATGAGTTTCTTCTTAGACTTTCTAAGTAATTTTTTGCCTCTTTTCCAATACTAGTGGTCCTGTTCTATCATTAGCTATTAGTTCTAATGGAGAACAGTGTTTTAGTGGTGGTATTGATGCAACCATCCAGTGGTGGAATATGCCTAGCCCTAATGTGGATCCCTATGATACATATGGTAAGTGAAAGGCTTAAAACATTTTTTTAAGAGAATGGAGCTGACAAAATGTTATTATAAGGTTGTTTAAACATGTATTAGTCTCCTCATTTAGTTTTCATTTGCTATTAATTTGCTTTATTAAAGGGAAAAATTAAGCAGTATCATTCCATGGAATATTTAAGCCTGTGAATTGGTACTTTATTGTCCAAAAATTAAAAAAAAAACTATATTAAAACAATTTTAGTACTAGTTAACAAAAAGAGGAGAATAAAATTTAAGGAACAATTTTTTAAACTTAAGAGTTTATGTAGTTCAAAAATACTTAGCAGAAGAAAGTAGAAACAAATTGTGGCAGTCAGTGTATAAACAGTACAACTTTTTAGAGGACAAAAAATTTCTTAATTAAAAACCTTTTACTCACAAATGACACTTTTAGAATCTGTCCCATAGAAATACCTGTATCTGTATTCAAATATATTTATAAGGGCATGTTTGTAATTATAAAAAATTAAAAGGAATATTTATTAGTGTGAGAAGAGTTAAATGAACAGTGATCCACTTAATGGTTGGTCCATTTAAAAAAATTTCAGGAGCGGGATGCCTGGGTGGCTCAGTCGGTTAAGCGTCTGCTTTTGGCTCAGGTCATGATCCCAGGGTCTTGGGATTGAGTTCCCCATCGGGCTCCTTGCTTAGCGGGGAGCCTGCTTCTCCCCCTGCTTGTGCTCTCGCTCAGTCTCTCTCTCTGACAAATAAATAAAAAGCTTAAAAAAAGAATGTACTCAGACTCTAACATCGTTAGACATTAAAAAAATTTTTTTTCAGGAGCTCTTTGGTCTTTTTATTTAAAACACACTTGGTGCCTAAATTTGCCAGGGATAGTGTTAAAGCACTACATCAAGAAATAAGAATTAGTCTAGTGAAAAGACAGACATTAAACAAATAAGCAAGGAGGTGGAGTCTGTGGTTAGAAATTATAATAAGCAGTATGAAGATATAAGTACTATGGAAGAGAATCTTTAGATATAGTCCAAAATAGTGATATTTAAGCCAAAATCTAAAGGATAAAAGGAAACTTCTAGGGGGTACTTGGGTGGCTCACTCAGTTGAGCATCCGGCTCTTGGTTTTGGCTCAGGTCAGGGTCGTGGGATTGAGCCCTATGACAGACTACGCACTTGGTGCAAAGTCTCCTTGAGATTCTTTCTAAATAAATAAAATCTTTTTTTTTTTTTTAAGATTTTATTTATTTATTTGAGAGAGAGAATGAGAGACAGAGAGCACGAGAGGGAAGATGGTCAGAGGGAGAAGCAGACTCCCTGCTGAGCAGGGAGCCCGACGCGGGACTCGATCCTGGGACTCCAGGATCATGACCTGAGCCGAAGGCAGTCGCTTAACCAACTGAGCCACCCAGGCGCCCTTTTTTTTTTTTTTTAAAGGAAACTTTCAGGAAAGAGTTTTAAGACAGGAAGTGACCAATAAATGTAGGGTTTAAAAAGGTGACTCTGGGGCGCCTGGGTGGCTCAGTTGGTTAAGCGACTGCCTTCGGCTCAGGTCATGATCCTGGAGTCCCGGGATCGAGTCCCACATCGGGCTCCCTGCTCAGCGGGGGTCTCCTTCTCCCTCTGACCCTCTTCCCTCTCGTGCTCTCTATCTCTCATTCTCTCTTTCTCAAATAAATAAATAAAATCTTTAAAAAAAAAAAAAGTGACTCTGGCTATTGTAAGGAGACTAGATTAGGGGTGGGAGAAGTGGAGAAAAGAATACTAATGTAATGTTGTAATGTAAAGTTGTAATGTAGTGGTCCAGTAGACTAGGTGAGAGATGATGTTCCCATGGTCATAATGACAGTAAAGCAGTTAGTAGCAGAGCAGTTAGAAATGGATTTATGGTACATTGGGGAAGTAGGGTAGACTAGGAAGAATCTACTGATAAATTGGATTGAATGGATAAAGTGATGGATAAGTGATTCTTGATTTTGTTACTTTTTTTTTTTTTTTAAAGATTTTATTTATTTATTTGACAGAGACACGGCGACAGAGGGAACAGAAGCAGAGGGGGTGGGAGAGGGAGAAGCAGGCGCTTCCTGCCGAGCAGGGAGCCTGATGCGGGGCTCGATCCTAGGACCCTGGGATCATGACCTGAGCCGAAGGCAGATGCTTAATGACTGAGCCACCCAGGCGCCCCTCACCCTTTTTATGTATACAGTTTTTACTATATTCACAGGGTTGTGCATCCATTACCACTACCTAATTCAGAACATTTTTATCAGCACTTTTGTATTTTTTGACATGAACAATTGAGTATATAATGGTAGATACTGAAATGGGGGAAGAACAGGTGTGAGAAGATTAAAGATGGTGAGTTCGGTTTTTAGGGCATATTAAGAGATGGCAATATCAAGTAGTTAATATTAAGATATTAGAATGGATTGTATAACATAGGGAAGAGTGTGTTGTATAGGGCATGAAGAGAGGACAAAGTCCTGAGCAACTCTGATATTGGGTGACTAGAGCAGGAGAGCCAACACAGGAAATTGGGGAGTGGCCTGTGAGGAAGGAGGAAGTGCAGGAAAATGTGGGATCATGGAAGCATACCAAAAGAAAAACCCTTTTGAGAAGAAGGAAGCAGTCTGTACTTTCATATGTTGTTGAGAGGTCTAATAATATGAGGATAGAAAGGTTCCTTTTTTTATGTGACAAATCTGTCACCCAGGTTTTAGCCAGAGGTTGGATGTAGGGACTAAGACCAGAGGGTGAAGGGACTTGTGGGCAACATTTTAAGGTACACTCTGGATAAAAAGCAATGTGATGAGAATAACCAAGAAAAAAATGTTCGAAGAAAGAAAAATCAGTAATTTTAGCAAGGGTTATTTTGGTGTAGTGATGGTATCAGAAACCATATTACATTGACTTAGAGAGTGAATGAGAAGGAAAACATTTTATTCAGTATGCTCTTCTGCTGTCTGTTGGAGGGGTATTGTAAGGTTAATGAAGGTTTTTGTTTAGGTCAGGAGATTCTGGAGCATATTTGTTTGCTGTGGTAATGATCCTAAGGAGAAGGAGAATTATTGTGTAGTAGGGAAACTGTAAATATGAAAGCAGGTTAGTGAGTTGAATCCAGAATTTACCTGGTAGAATTATTAGCCTTTGAGAAGAAGGTGGACAGTTCCTTACTCCTATCTGGAAGCAAGTTACACTAGTAGATTGGGTGGAGGAAAGATGGGAAAGAGGTCCTTATTTCAGTGCTGTATTTTCTCAGTGAAGTCGATAATCAGAGATAATCATTCATGAGGAAGGGAGTTTGGGAACTGAAAATTCCAGAGGTGGTAAGAAATAGCTGTGGAAGGTGGGAATTTACTAGAGAAACAAGATTATAGGCCAGATGGTACACCATGTTATTATTAGCCACCATATCCATCAAATGATAAATGCGTAAGTAAAATCCATACAATGGGTATTATACGACAATAAAAAGAAAGGAAGTACTGAGGCATGCTACAACATGGACCAACCTTGGAAACACTATGCTAAGTGCAAGAAGCCAGTCACAAAGGACCATTTGTATGAAATGTCCCGAATAGTCAAACTTAAACGAAGTAGATTAGTGGTTATGTAGGGCTGCAGAAAAGCAGGAAGAATTGGGCATTGGGGGGTGGGAATGGCTAATGAGTGATGAAAGTGTCCTAAAATTGATGTGCTGATGATTGTATAACTCTGTGAACATAATAAAAACCATTGTGTTGTACACTTTTTTTTTTTTTAAAGATTTTGTTTATTAGAGAGCATGAGTGGGGGGCAGGGAGGGGCCAAGGGAGAAGGACAAGCAGACTCCCTGCTGAGTGCAGAGTCTGACACAGTGCTCCATCCCAGGACCCTGAGATCATGACCTGAGCCTAAGCCAGACACTTGACCAACTGAGCCACCCAGGCGCCCCCTTGAATTGTATACTTTAAATTGGTGAACTATATGGTATGGGAATTCTATCTCACTAAAGCTGTTTTTTAAAAAAGTGTTCTTTATAGAAAATTCTAAGAATACAGGAAAGTATTTTGGGGGAGATGAAAAATAATCCATAATTCTACAACTTAGATATGGCCAGTGTGTAAACTTTGGTTATCTTCTTACGGCCATTATGCATAGTCTTTGTACTTAATTATATGGTAAGTTATAATTATCTGAAACATTTCTTTCCAACTTCTTTTAGCTAATTTTTGTTTGTTTGTTGTTTTTTCCCAGAGCCAAATGTTCTAGCTGGCACTTTAGTTGCACATACAGATGCTGTCTGGGGTCTTGCTTATAGTGGCATAAAGAATCAGTTACTGTCTTGTTCAGCAGATGGCACTGTTAGGTTATGGAATCCACCAGAAAAACTGCCATGTATTTGCACTTACAATGCAGACAAGGGTAAGTAAATGTTGCCCTCTAAAAAAAGCTGATTTTTTTAAAATTTGGAAGATAGAAATGACAAAGCAAATGATTACTATTCCTGTGCTACTCTAAGAGATATATTGAAAGAATTTTATAAAGCGTGTGATAATCTTTTTACTCTTAGTCATTTCTTACAAACAAAGGAGTTTTGCAAGTATATCCTATAGCTTGGTGCTTTTTGACCTTTTCCAGGACATGTCCTATTTAAAAAATTAAACTGTTTGTAGTAGTGAAGTAGACAAATGAGGCTGCTTGTAGAAACAACATGAGGCTCTCCACCTGGTGGAGGTGGCTGCCCACAAAGACTGAAGGGATCACAGTCTTAAGCATACCTGATACATATGAGCACACTGGTTGAGAAGTATAGCCATAATCATTGAATTAGCACCCTTGGCGGGGGCGGGGTGGGGAGGAGTACAAACTGAATTACATGTAGAATTTCAGATCTTTTCCCGTCATAGAAAGCTGTAAGCAGTTTGCTTTGTGATACCATTTGTTTATATACATATGTTTGTGTACTGGTATTAGTCATGTTTTCCAAGACATTTTTAAGTTATTTTAAAAATCAGACCTTTTATTTTTTTTTAAAAACTATGTTTTCTCTTAAAGCATTTTAGAGAAATAGTTATGCTTATTTCTGTAGGGTTACTCTTAGATACCTTAGTGATTCTACTAAGTTTTCAATTACCCAAACTTTTGAGGTAAATATTTATTTAGATATTTGTTGCTTAATTCATCTGGGTAATTTATTGCTTGACACTCTGGATTGCACCTAGTTGTGCATTGATCTGGCCAGTTGAATGTTACAAAGACAGAAATTGCTGCCCAGGACATGGTAGGATAGTACTGCATCGGTGGATTCCAGACTCCAAGCTTTATTGTCACAGATCCAAAATTTCAACTTGTGTGAGCTATTTGATAAGGCTTATAGGTCTCAAACAGGTGCAATCTCCCAAGATAGTGATGTGAGAATGCTAATATATCATTTTACAGTAAAAAATAACATCTGTACATACCTCATAATTTTTGAGCCCCTCTATATTTTTCTTATACTGTTAAATAGAATGTTAAAACAACTAAAAATAATTGAGGGAAAGTTATCTATTATATCTCACTATCCTAACATAATTGTTCTTCTTCATTATTAACATTATTTCAAGAATACTTGAGTTCCTTTTTCAAATTAGAAAATCTAATTTTAGGGATTTCTAAATTGTTTTTATATTGTATCTCTTTGGGCTCCTTTTCAGAGCATGGAATACCTACATCTGTTGACTTTATAGGCTGTGATCCAGCTCATATGGTGACCTCTTTCAACACTGGTAGTACAGTAATTTATGATTTAGAAACATCACAATCATTGGTAATGCTTTCATCACAAATAGATTCTGGTAAGTTTTCATAGGTTTCTTTGAAACCTTTAAAAGGATTATTACACAATAGAGGGTAATCTTTTAAGTTTTACATTTTGACTGTTTGAATTTATGATGAAAAAGTTTCAGTGTGTTATAGTTGTACTTATTTACAGTGTTTTTGCAGTTTTCTCAAATTATGCTTAAAAGCTTGGAGGATTTGGGGAACAGAGAGTAAGAGCAATGTAAATGAAAGGGGAAATAATTTTAAAGTTTTAATGGAAATACATTTGAAAGTAGAGAAAATAATATAAGCTGGAGGAAAGCATCATCCATCTCTAATAATTATGTGTAAATGGCCAATGTCGTTAGTGTAGAATGTGCTATGTGTTTTACAGTTTATTTAAATAGGGTTCCAAATAAGGCCTATGCATTGTAATTGGTTGGTATGTCCCTCAGATTTCTTCTTACCTGTAGCTTACCCCTCCATCTCTTCTATTTCCCTTGCATTTTTTTTTTTTTTTAAAGATTTTATTTATTTATTTGACACAGAGAGAGACAACGAGAGAGGGAACACAACAAGCAGGGGTTGTGGGAAAGGGAGAAGCAGGCTTCCCACCGAGCAGGGAGCTGGATGTGGGGCTCGATCCCAGGACCCTGGGATCATGACCTGAGCCGAAGGCAGTCGCTTAACCAACTGAGCCACCCAGGCGCCCCTCCCTTGCATTCTTTTATTGAAGAAATTGAATCATTTATCCTGTAGCTTCCACCGTGTGGATTTTGCTGGTAGCATCCTTGTATCATTTAATGTGCTTTCTCTTTTCATTTTATTTCCTATAGATTATAGATCTAGAGGCTTATTCAAATTCAGGTTTAATATTTTTATTTGTCTTCATTATGAAGTTTTTAAATGTTTTTGGCAAAACTATAGTAATTTGTGATCTCCTATCAGAAGTAAATATTGTCTGGTTGTTTTTCTTACGTTTTCAGTCGTGATCATTTGTTCATTAAATGCTTATAATTCATTTATGGACTATTTAAAGTAATAATTACTGTGGGTCTTTTAAGATTCTAAACCACCTATACTGACAGGAGCTTAATATTGTCCATATTATAGGACATGATAGCTTACACTTCTATTTTTTAAGAAGCTCTGTCTCTCTAGAGCTCTAGGTTTAGTTTTCAGATTTTTATTTTATACAAATGCTTTAATTTTTTAAATGATTCTTTTTGGTAAGCCTAAAAAGGCTGTCATCTAGGGGTGCCTGGGTGGCTCAGTTTGTTAAGTGTCTGCCTTCAGCTCAGGTCATGATCCCAGGGTCCTGGGATCGAGCCCCATGTCAGGCTCCCTGCTCAGTGGGGAGTCTGCTTCTCGCTCTTCCTCTCTGCCCCTCTTGTCCTGTTCGTGTTCTCTCTCTCTCTCAAATAAATAAAATCTTAAAAAAAAAAAGCCATCATCCAAATTTTAATGGAAAGTTTGAACTTTAGTGCATTATCTTCATTTTTCAGGTTTACAATCCAGTAATCACATTAACAGAGTAGTAAGTCATCCCACACTTCCTGTTACAATAACTGCTCATGAAGATAGACACATCAAATTTTTTGACAATAAAACGGGTAAGTAGGTTATCGTATTTTCTTTTTAGTCTTAATACTGTAAATTTGAGATGATCAAAAATGCTATTCTTTTTATGTAAGACATACTGAGTTTTTGCCTAAAAATTTGCCAAGTTAAACTATTTCAACTCAGATTTTCACTTAATGTAGTACACTTACGTGTTAAGTTCTGTCCTTAAGTGTATATAATACCTTGCCTATCAATTATGTTTTCTCTGTGTCATGTTAAATACAAACCCATCCATTTGAAATTTTTTCTTTCATATTCTGTTCTTGAAAGGTCTCTTTCTCGGGTTTGGTATTTCAGATATGCTCTTAGAATTATTTCTCAGGAGATGAAATGATGAAATAGTGGAAATTGTTAATTGTTATTTTCCCTCTATTTCTTGTGAAGAAACTTAACAGTTATATAGAAGTGAAATTAAATTTTAATTTGGCCAGTGGGTTCTTTAATGACCTCTGTTTCATCTGTCATTAGAATACCACATGAAATACTGTTTGTGCTCAGGCTTCTTTGAGAAGCTAAAACAGGGGTTTTGAAGGATCTCCAGCTAAGAAACTTAAAAGTTAATTGCAGCATTATTGCAGGGCAACAGATTATCAAGCAAGACAGCAAATCAGAACTACAGATTTCTCTTTAAAATCTCATTGATTCATTCATTCATTCAAGTAGGCTCCATGCCAAAAGTGGGCTTTAAACTCATGACCCTAAGATCAAGAGTCAGATGCTCTATTGACTGAGCCAGCCAGGTGTCCCTCTATAGATTTCTCTTTGAGGTTATATATAATTATTAATCTTATAATTAATGGTTATTATAACCATTAATTGGACATGGTTATAATTATTAATCTTTAGAGTCTTAAGTAAATCCCTGTGTTCAGATAACACTCTAATGGACAGATTTCCTTTTAACTCAGTAGAACAAGTTGAGAAGAGAATGGATATTTATAGTCTGTATTGCATAGGAAAAAGAAGATTCACATTCATATGAAAGTTCTCACTTTAGCACCTCCTCAGAACAAGTCTTTGAACATTTTTATGAAGCCTCAGTCTCTTCTGCTGCAAGCACAGAGATAATTTCCTTTACTGTGTTTCTGAAAAGATTTTTTTAAATTAACTATTGAAGATTTATATTTAGGTTTCTAAGAGGAGGGTCAGGAATTTCAGTAGTTGTATTAACAGCAAAGTGTGAGTCTCTAGAGCTATTTTATTGGCAGAAATCAAGAAAATGGTAATAAAATTTTGTTAAATAAGGAGCCTATAGTCTTTCAGATTGTTTGCAAATTCTACCAATTTATTCTTTCTGTTAGTCTAGTTACCTTATCTGTAATGTAAAGACAAAGCAATAGGCTCTTAACAATGGAAAAATTCTTTCTAAATCCTGTCTTACTTCACACAAGGTACATACACATAACAACATAGCATTAAATTAAAATGTAAATTGTGTTCCGATATACTGTTTCCAAAGAAATTTTTCCCTGAAAATTGGTAATTCATTTAAATGTGATAAACTAGAATATTTTCATAGCTGGTCTGGTGTTGACAGCTAAGTTTTTAATAGAGTATTATTCTATCCAGTGACTAGTGTATTTATTGAATTTTTTATCTGAAACATTATAGAAATTGATACTATGGATGAATGCAATGAATTCTTAGGTTTTTAACCAAAGAAGTATATTTAGCTTTTGTATTCTGCACGGCACTGTCTGCTATCATGTATAAGATGTGGTTTCTGCTCTCTGAGAGCTTATTGTTGTTTGGGGAAAATAGGACGTGTGTCTCTGTATGTGTGCACGTGCACACGTGCACTCATATATGCAATAAGATGAGCCATGCTAGATAAAGGAGTCTTCGTAGTGAAGGTTTGCCTTGAAGAAATGGTAAGTTTTGTTGTTTTTTTTTGTTTTGTTTTGTTTTTAAGTGAAGAAGGTAGTAGGAAGTTCCAGATAAGGGCCTATTTTGAGCAGAGGCAGAATGGTGGCTGGAACAAAAGTTTCTTATAGGTAAAGCTAAAGAGGTAAGTTTGGAAAAGGGAAACAGAAACTGTTGAGGAGAACTTTTCAGCGCCAGGCTAAGAATAATGGATTTTTGTTTATGCTATGCACTGTGAAAATCACTTAAGATATTTGAGCAGGGGTTTGTAAAATTGGTTTAGAAAGATTATTTAAATTGCATTATCTGGTAGATCTTTAACTTTAAAGAATTTGTAATTTCAATTTCTACAATTTGTTCTAGAGAGATACTAAGGGCTCATGATTTTTTAAAATTTTGGTAAAGGTACAAATTTGAGTTGCATATTACTGTGCCTGAGAAACTTAGCTGGTGATGGTGAGTTTGGGAGAAGGTGTACAAGTGAGGGATATGGAGGAGTTGGAGACAGAAGATCATGATTTCGTTGTGGACTCATTCAGCACAGTTTATTGAGTGTCTTGCCATATGCTTGGGGTAGTTTTCAATGCTTTGTGAACAAAACAAACAAAATGTTTGGTCCTCTTACAATTTATATTCTAGTGGTATCTTAACTGCAAGTGAGATATCGTTCTATTTGATTTACATATATTAACATGTTCTAATAACCATAAGATACATAAAATATTATTATTCCCATTTTACAGTTGAAATAGAAGGCTTAAAAGAAGTTACATAATTTGTGGGGCACCTGGGTGTCTGTCATTAAGCATCTGCTTTCGGCTCATCCCAGGGTCCTGGGATCAAGCCCCACATTGGGCTCCCTGCTCTGTGGGAAGCCTGCTTCTCCCTCTCCTACTCCCCCTGCTTGTGTTCCCTCTCTCACTGTGCCTCTCTCTGTCAAAAAAATCAATCAATCTTAAAAAAAAAAAAAAGTTACATAATTTGTTGATTGTTAAACAGCAGAGAGAAATTACAGGGTTGATGGATTCACACGCCGCATGCGGTTTGTGTCCATAGTCTACATTTTTTTTTTTTTAAATATCTCTTTTGGGGGCGCCTGGGTGGCTCAGTTATTAAGCGTCTGCCTTCAGCTCAGGTCATGATCCCAGGGTCCTGGAATCGAGCCCCACGTTGAGCTCCCTGCTCCGTGGGAAGCCTGCTTTTGCCTCTTCCAGTCCCTCTGCTGTGTTCCCTCTCTCGCTATGTCTCTCTCTGTCAAATAAATAAAATCTTTAAAAAAAAAAAAATAGCTCTTTTGTCCCCATTTCATAGAGGCTTACAGTATTGATTACCCAAGTCAGAGGGCTTAAGGTGCCAGAGAGGGGAGAACAGGTGACTGCGTGTATCCTCTATTTTCCTCCATTACAGGAGGAGAGAATTAACTTTGGTCAGTGAAGAGAGGCAGTAGCAGAGATGTAGGGCAAAAGTGAAATTGGTTAAATGTGATTCTCGGGAGGTGTCAGAAGTTTTGTGACTTCTGTGGTCACCAGCATCCAACTTAGTTCAGCATTCTGCCTCCTTATTCGCATCCAGTCTGAAGGAGTCACTTAAATTTCAAAGTGGCCTTCTGACTGTATGGAGAGGAAGGGTTGATTGTAAGTTGACTTTGGCATATCATAGGGTTAATTTAGTGGACAGGTAGGAGAACTGGAGACAAACTGGGAAACTATAGTACCCTTGAAGAAGTGAGTAGGTCTGCTGTTTGGATGAAAGAATTCTTTGGTTTAAGACATGTTACATTTAGGAGATGCAGGATTGGTCTCAGGAGAGAAGTTGGAACTAAATTTGTGAATTAAGAGTTCTCATCATAGATTTGACATTTTAAGGGAAGCTAATGATGCTTGGTATTTAACCTCTAATGATTTGAGATTATTGTCCTGAAGACTAACCATTTCATACTTGGTTTTGTTTTTGTTTTTTTTTATAGGAATGTTGCAAGGAATGGATTCTAGATCTGATGGGTTATGTTGGACTAAGCAATTAAAGATAGTATGTTGAATGATTCTTCTGTTCCTCAGAATAGCAGAGAAGAATCTCTAAAATTATTCTGTTAGTATTAGTGAGAAACAGACAGATGTGGTTTGAAATGATGAGAGACTAATTTTGTACTTAACTGATGATGTTAGTATTGCCAGAAAATGATAGGACCGTTTATGTTTTTCAGAGTAACTTGTTGCACATTTGATTAGGTTGTGGTTTTATATTCAGGCCAGGAACTGTAGCAGACAAGAAAAGTAGATCTATTTCATGTCCCATTGTGGAATGTCATCAGGGGACCAAAAACATGGCAAATGATTGTAACTAGAATTCGGGAGAAGGCCTCTCATTAGGAGCAACTCAGGCATTTGAGTAATAAAGACTCATTGCTGAATGAAAGGGGAGGAAATTTTAGAAATATCAGTATTTGCTATTTTATTCCCTTCTTGGATGAATCAATTTATGATATTGCTTTCCATCCATCAAAGGCATATATTGCCAGTGCAGAGGCTAATCCCCTTGTCCCCAAGGTATTTATGCAACACAACTTTGTACTTATAACTTGTTTTTTAATTTTAACTTGCTACTGAATCCCATTTTCTTGCCAAATCTTGAGTGAAGATATTCATTAAATCAAATTTTTCAGAATAGTGTTTTTGGTACTATCTGGGGAAATCCAGAAAAATTTCTCTAATATACTCTCACTCTTCTCCCCTTTCTTGTTTCCAATGTATAAAATGATTCACATTTCAAAAGATAAATGAATTTGTTAATAGTAGAGTTTTTAGTTAGGAATATATCCTCTAGTGGTTTATCAGTAACCCTGTATATGAAATAATTTTTACATCTCTTAACAAGAGAGATTTTTTCTGTTTCTAGTTTAATTCCACTTTATATGATCTTAAGCCTTTGATGCAACCATACATAGTCATTGTTTTCCACTGCCTACCAGGTACTGTCAGATTCATGTCACATAGATGTCTTTTTTGGGAGTAACTGGGAAAGTTCTGCATTAGAATTCAAATTCTCTTAAAAAAAAAAAATATTACAGGCATACCTCTGTGGGCTCAGTTTCACATCACTGCAGTAAAGCTAATTTGTCATTAAAGTGTGTCAAATGAATTTTGGTTTCCCAGTGTATATAAAAGTCGTGTTTATACCATACTGTTGTCTACTAAGTGTGTAATAGCATTATGTCTAAAAAAAACCCAACGTATGTACCTTAAAGAATATTTATTGCAAAAAAAAACGCTAACCATTGCTGAGCTTTCACCAAGTTGGAAGCACTCATCATAGGTCACCATAACAAATATAATAATAATGAAAAGGTTTGCATTATTGCAAGAATTACCAAAATGTGACGGAGACACAAAGTGAGCAAATGCTATTGGAAAATGGTGCCAATAGATTTGTTCAACACAGGATTGGCATAGATCTTCAGTTTGTAAAAACAACAACAACAACAACAAACTGTAGTATCTTTCAAGTGCAATAAAACAATGTATGCCTGTGTACTGGGTGAACCTTGAAAACTTTAAGTGACGGAAGGCAGATACAAAAAGCCACATGTTACTGTATGATTTCAACTGTATGTATCATCCAGAATAGTCCAACTCATAGTGAGAGAAAGCAGATTAGTGGTAACCAGGGACTTGGGGGAGGGGAGAAATAGGGAGTGACTGCTTAATGGGTACGGGTTTCCTTTTGCAGTGATGAAAATGTTCTGAACTGGATAATGGTGATGGTTGCATATCATTGCGAATGTTCTAAAAGCCACTGAATGATACCTTCCCATATGGTTAAAATGGTAAATTTTATGTTATGTGTATTTTACCACAGTAAAAAATACATTGCTATAATGATTGTCTATTTTATGTTGATGTTATATTATGGTTTCTGATCTCGCAAGTTAGTAACTATTTGTGAAAATTTTATCTTCTGTGTTATGTTTTATTTAGGTAAAATGATCCATTCTATGGTAGCTCATTTGGATGCTGTTACAAGTCTAGCAGTAGATCCTAATGGAATCTATCTGATGTCTGGAAGTAAGTCTGAATTTCCTATACTGCCACAAACTTTATAAAGGAATTGTTACTCAGTAATGTACTTTATTTGTTCTTTTATTACAGGCCATGACTGTTCTATTAGATTGTGGAATTTGGACAGCAAGACATGTGTGCAAGAAATAACAGCACATAGGAAGAAATTAGATGAATCGATTTATGATGTTGCTTTCCATCCCTCAAAAGCATATATTGCCAGTGCAGGGGCTGATGCCCTTGCCAAAGTATTTGTGTGAATCAACAAAAACTCACATCTTAACAACAGATTTGCTTGGACAGAAAGAGGGTCTGCATCACTGCCATCAGAAAGGTTACTGATATGACACTACATGTGATCTGCCTGGTGAAGGCTATTCGAGGCAGGCATAAATTGATGGAAATCACATCTTAATGTCAGGCTCATTAATTTAATTGTAATTACTGTATCTCGTGGGACAAATAAAAAGGACTCCATTATTTGTGGCCTGTACTGGATATGAACTGAGCGTATGTCTGTTTTTTAGGTATCTTTAAGCCAATGTGGAGTCTGATCTTACAAAAGACTTTTATTTTGGACTCTGTGTGCTGCCTTAGGGTTAGGAATGTGGTGCTCTTGTTGGGGGGGAAGTGAGCTCCAAGAGTAGCTTTTTTTCATCTCTTAGTGATTTTCTGTTTATCAGTTGAATGCCACAGATTCCCTTTTAAACTTATTTTGCTTTAAAAAAAAAAAAGAAAATTTAACTTAAAATATTTTAGCATTAGTTGCACAAAATGTTTGGATAAAATTCTAGTTTTTATAAGTCTTTTTATATATTTAGCCTGTCACAACAGTGCTCAAGATTGTATTGAAGTTTTTCTGCATTATACAACCCTGAAACACAGAGATCTCACTGACCCGCTGCCGTGTAACCACACTTTTTCCTTCTTTTGCCTAATACAGCTCAGCTAAGTCCTTCCATAAAGATGCTAAATCACCTTCATCATCACATTATTGTCTTCATATAAACCAAGGACTATTAAGTGTATTAAAATGAAACATGGGGTTTAATACTCCAAATGAACTCTTTAAAAAGAAAAAAAACGAACTAATCTTGGCATCCTATCACTATGTGATATTTTGTACATCTTACTGTATTTACAAGTTTATTTATCAAGGATTATCCATCTTGCTAATAGCCTATTATTTATTTCACTTTTTGTTGGTCTTTATATCCTTTTATTAATGTGCTAAAGGAACCTGTATATCTATTTTGGAACTCTTTGAATGGTCTAAAATAGACTAAAAATGGAATATTTTATAGTTTAAGTTACAAACCAAGGTGATTTCCCCCAGATGCATATCTTGGTTTACCATGATTCCAAACAAAAACTATGTTGTTTAAAAATATTTGGAGTAAAATTTTATTTGCATTACAAATAGGACACAAAAATAGTTGAATCAGGATACAGAAATCTGCTGTGTTTGGACTAGTTATCCCTGTTTTATTTTTTCAGATGTGCTTAATTTTATGGTGTAACTAAAGATTTTGTTTGTGTAATGCATGATTAAGACAATAAAGTATTTTTTCTAGTCTTCCAAAAACTTTTCTGATCAGTTTGCGAGTTTTGATGAGTTTTGTAAGGTTTTTGTTTTACAAACTATGAATCAGCAAATTTTTAAGATTGTACCACATAGCAAACGTACAGCTATTGAAAAATAATGTATATAAAATGCATATAATAAATATTAAATTGTGTACCTGTATGTTACTGTTGACTACATTATTTTGTGTTGATTATTTAATAAAGTGCAATACTTTACTCTCCATCATTAAACCAGGAAATGGAGATGATTTCTCAGTGAGTCCTTCATTTCTATGCTGTTTTGTTAAACTTTGTATTGCTTATTGAGACTCTAATAAGATTAGAACAGTTAACACTATTAATGACTTTCTGTGTATTTCACCCCATTTGGGAATCTTAAAAAATCTTCTATTAAAACAAGATAATTCACAATAACCAAAAAAAAAAAAAAGAGATCCAGGGTTTTTTAAATTTATTTGAGAGAGAGAATGAGAGAGTGCGAGCATGAGAGGGGAGAGGTCAGAGGGAGAAGCAGACTCCCCGCTGAGCAGGAAGCCATCCCAGGGACTCGATCCCAGGACTCCAGGATCATGACCTGAGCCGAAGGCAGTTGCTTAACCAACTGAGGCACCCAGGCACCCCAGAGGTCCAGTTCTAAATCATTTCCTTAAATATTCTATTTATGAAATCTGGGTTTCAGTTAATAATGTTGTCAAGACTAGCCATACCTGTTTCCACAAAAAAGCAAAGCAGAGAATAAACTGCATTACTCATTAATTAAAAGTTGTCCTTATAGTGCTCGCTTTGGTAGCACATATACTAAAATTGGAACGATACAGAGAAGATTAGCATGGCCCCTGCGTAAGGATGACATGCAAATTCGTGAAGCGTTCCATATTTTTTATGAATCATGGAACACTACATCAAAAACATGTATGGTGATTAACATAACAAAAATTTAAAACAAGTTGTCCTTATAAATAATAGTATCTTGAAACTTTTTCCTTCAACAAAGTAATATCCTTTTTCTTTGAAGAAAATTGGAAATGGAATTGGAAGGTAACAAAACTTAGGCGGCAAAGTTCTATTTGAATGCCTAGTGCAAAAAAATTACATTGTGTACATTGAGACATTGTGTCTTCTACATAAAAATCCAAGTGTCAATTTTAGTCATTGCTGGTGAAATACTAAAATTTTTCAGAAATTTTCTTAAAGTGGGGTGCCTGGGTGGCTCAGTTGTTAAGCGTCTGCCTTCAGCTCAGGTCATGATCCCAGGGTCCTGGGATCGAGCCCCACATCGGGCTCCCTGCTCTGTGGGAACCCTGCTTCTCTCTCTCCCACTCCCCCTGCTTGTGTTCCCTCTCTCGGTGGTCTCTCTCTCAAATAAATACTTTTTTAAAAAACTTTTTTCTTTAAGCTATTGCTTTGTTTTCTGAAGATTGAACTTAATGAACAAAGCAAGAGGCATATTTTCTCCTTGGTTTTGGAAATAAGTTTTTCCAAAGCTAGTATGGTTTCTGGCAGCTATTCCAAACCGGTGCATTACTGTTTAACTGAAATTTGCAGTGCATAAACATTCACCTCTTGGGGTGTATTAAAACTGAACTGAATAAAAATTCGTATATATGTTTATTTTTCTCTTCTCTACTTTGGTTGTATTTTTCTCTCCAGTATTAAATGTTTGGAAAAGATTGAAGGATGCGAAAAGAGAAAGTCTATTTTGTGTGCTCCCATTTGTGACTTACGGGAAGTTATGTAGATTTGGTTATGAAATGGTGCTATATAAAGTTTAAGAATATTTTTATATACAAATGTTAATATGTTAATGTTAATATACAAATGTTATATACAAATGTTTAATATTATTCTGCCTTTTTCATACTTTATTTTTGTGTACTTTTCTCACATTTCAGTTAGTTATCCACTAACGACCAGCATCTCATTTAACACCTTAAATGTTATAAATAGCCTAGCATATTTGTAATTTAGGCATGCCTGCTGAAGTTGGATTGTAATACATCTTTTTAAAAATCTTTTACTCCTTTTTAGTTGTTAACCCTTTATCTTGTTGACTTACACAAAATAATTGATAGTAACTTAATAGAGTGGTCATTTCTGCTCTTAGTGTTAAGTCAGAGTGCTAGTTTCCCTGGTTATCTCGGATGCCTCAACTTTGTCCTTTATAAAATTACCTTCTTTAAAAATGCTTGTAATGTTTGGAGGCTGGATTTTCATTTAATTTTTCAAGGAGTGGTACTCAGCTTTTGTGGTCTGTTTATGGAGGGAAAAGGTTAAACCCATTTTTGCTTAATTAAATGAAAATTCTTGGTACATGAATCATTCATCTTTGAGGCATTTTATTAAGGGGAGGCAGTTTATTGTCTTCCCATACCCCATTTTGCCAAATTTTTATGTATTAAAGGCAGTTTCAGTTCTGCCTTTCTGATACATGGTCCTTTTATTCCTTTTATACAACCTATAGAATTGTTAGACTCCAAAGATTTAGAATTAGTATGTGTACTCCAGTAAATCATTTAACACCTTTTTCAGGTCAACGTGTAAATTGTTTCAGATAGGATCAGTGTATATGTGAAGGGACATAGGGTTCTTAGGTGGATGAGGGAGAGGGCAGGTCCTCTGTAGAGAAGATGAGCCAGACAAGATGACAGAATACCTTTATCTGAAGGGAGAGCTCTTGGTCAGGTAATGATAGTTATATTAAGGGAATTCTGATCACTTTTCAAAAACCAACTTTATAAGCATATATAAGTAAAGATAATGTTAATTAGAAGACATTTTTGTTTAATCAAAAGCATCTCATGCTGTTTAACTTGGTAGTGCCTGTGTATAATGCCTAGGAGACATTCAATAAATAATTGAATAAATATAACAATTTAAAAAATTCAGAATTGGTCTTTCTGCATAAAATAGTGAATGTAGGATTTTTTACCATGTTCCAGGGATAGATACTTGGAATAATAAAAGTAAAGCAGCTTAGAATAATAGTCACTAACAGTTTATTGCTTAAATTGTCAAACTACAATATTTTTTCCTGCAGTTCTATTTTTAATATGTGCTTTTCCGCACAGCCAAATGTTTACAAGTAGTAAGTAAAAATTTACCAACTTAGCTATTTTTTAGTACATGGATGACTTTGAATATAAGCCAAATATATCTATACACGTATAAAATTAAGGATATAAATAGAAAAATACCAGGCTATCCTGCTATCTTGTTCAGTGTGATACTTCCGTTATGTTGTTATGAAAATACACTACAAAAGAAACTTCATGCCTAATTCCCTTCCATTTCATTCATAATTACAACTTTTTAGTATATCAAGTAACAAATATTGTTGATTGGTTTTAAAACAACATCTATTGGGGCAAAATAACATTTGAACTGAATTAACTTTTATTTTCCTTATGTGTTTAATACAGAATGATTAGAGAAGGAATGTTGCTTTTGTTCTGAATATTATTCTTTTATTGAGCTATGGAATTTGCATTTCTATACATATAATATGCATTTTAGAATTCTTAAGATTTGGATGCACGATATTTCCTCTTTCCTGAGTTTCTAAGGGTCATGATTATGAAGTCTTGGCAGAGTGTTTAACAAATTCTAAATTGTCATTAGGTAGTAGCTTTAAATGAATGCTTATTTGCTTGAAACAGCTGTTGGCATTTTTAATATAACAGTTTTGTATCTGATCCTAGTATGCTATATAGTATTTTGGTATGAGAAAATGACTTATACGTTCTATCCTCTTGCACTTTTTCTTTCAGTTGTCATAACGTCCCCATTATTGCTGGGATTCCAAGAAATCTCTACAAATGCCTCTGATGACATCGGAAACAATTGGTTCTAATCCTGTGAACTCTCTTGTGAAGAAAGCATGTGACTCCTTTGGTTTAGAGGCCATATCTTTCAGGTCATCCAAAGGTGCCCAAGCCACACCAACAGAGAAGATGGTGATACCTACAATGAAAATATTTTTAAGTGAATTAAAGCCAAGTTCCAGTTTATATATAAAATCAGGTGTAAATATTTTTCATGAATTACTAAACAGTTATAGAAAAAACTCTCTAGTAATGTCTGAAGAACTAAATCTCTTCACCAAATGGTTAGGTTTTAACAGTCATCGTGATGAGAATGACCAACAGTTGAATCAAAAACAGAAGCTCTGCCATCAGTATAAATTACCACGTTAACCGATAAATCACATGATCACTGACACAATACTGGATAAGCTGATAAAGATCTTAAAAAAAAAAAAACATACTTAGGGAAATGGTGAAAACTTCCTGAGATTGGCATGAGGATGGGCTGTCTACTATCATCACTAATTATTTTACTGGAGTCCTAGCCAATGTAACAGCATGGAAGAATGGCACAAAATTTGGGATACGTAAATGGAAGTTTTCTAAGTCGATTGCATTGCCAGGGATGGCGACTAGGCCTCTGTGAATATTGAGAGCTTTCTTCCATTTTGATTTGTATATTAAATTGGCAAACTGACCTGCAGTCAGAAATTTGACCAAAGCAAAAATCTGGTGATAAAAACAGCCAAAGAGGTCTGTGAAGCTGGAATAATTTCTTCTAGTTACATACACACTGAGGCATAAGCTCTGCATTCCCTTGTGCTACTGGAAGGCTTTTACTCTGAATACATTTTGGCTAGGGTGATAACTACATTATAGTTTGATTCACCTCAATCCCAAGTGCAGTAGTTGTTTACCATCTTTCTTTTGGGTGAAATTCCCTATAATGTTTTGAGAGTTTCTGAAATAACGTCTAAGACTTCACACCCCTTGTAGTGGTATTCTGTGCCAAGAGTTGTGAATATTTAAGATATAAATAAAGCAGGTTTAGTTTATATAAAAGCTCCTTGAAACTATTTATTATACCCAGTCAATACTCACCTGGCAAAAAAAAAAAAAAAAAATTCTCCCCTCAGGTTTCCTCACTTGTAGATTGAATTCAAGCTCAGAGTGGTTAGCTTGGACCAAATACATAATTACAGCTTAAAAAAAAAAAGTTATGACCCAGCCCTGAAAGCCTACTCTGTATTCTGGCTTTTGTTAACTTTGTAACTTTGACTTTACTGTCACTAAAGGATAATTTTCATGAAAATGGTGTGGCCCAACCTCCTGAAGTTCAACTAATTAAATAAGGAAAATATATTTGAATTAATGAAGTTCACTTAATTTAGCCTGAATCCAAGCCTGTTAACCATAAATTATTTCAGTAAGCTACATTTTTAA